AAAAAAAAAAAGAAAATTAATAATTCGATAGCCCTTAGTCATTGGGTTAAACAAACTGCTTCGTACACGTTCGATCGATGCTCTTATCTCGACCAATGCTAACAGGAATTCGCAAATAGAATTTACTCGAGAGCTGGCCGAGATCACAATGAACGCGTGCAACTTGTAACCAGACGCGAAATCCAATACGTAATTCAAGCCTCGGTGTCCAGGCACTGTATCCCAGGTGTTTCGTTGCCTTGATCCGAATGCGTAAGGAAAGCGGACAAAAGGGAGACGGCCAAAAGTATGAAGTTGCGCGCATCTATTGCTCAACAACGAGGGGCGTGTTCGATAACTCGAGCTCGATTTTGCGCGACTGATCGAATAAAACTGACGCGAGCGAATGGGAGAAAAAGACTCTTTGAAGAAAGAAAAAAAAAAAAAAGAATTCGATGAGTTTGCTATTATAATAATTTTAGACTATAAATCATTGCAATTTTGATAATTTTTTTTTTGGAAAGCTTTTTAACTCCGGATGTAGCATCTCCACGAATAAATAGTAGCAGATTTTGATTTATTACCACCTTCGTTTATGAAATAATTTATTTTGTCTGCGACGTTGGATAATTCTCGTTTCTAACGAGAAGTAAAGTCGAGTGTGTTTCTCTGTAGAAAGAAGGAAACAAGGTGGTCGTCGATTTTTTCCTCGTATTATAGTTGAGATTTTTACGAGTTCTGCTAAAAAGGGTACGGGGTTCTGGAGGAAAGGAAGAAAAAAACAGAACAAAGAACAGAGATTGCAACGAGAGAAAAAGCAAGAAAGAGGGTAAAGTGTGGCCGGTTGGGAACCGTTGGGAAACGGTTTGGAACGGCGAGGAACGGTTGGAGAGAAGAGACCATTGGAGACCGAAGGTAGAGGGGCGATGTTAGTTTCGGTTGGGAAGGAGCGTGGGTGGCGCATGGCGGTGCGCGGCCGGCCAACAGGAAGGAGAAAACCTGCACACACTGGCTTCTGTTTTAATGATGATCTATTTCGGTCGATGGCATTCCCAGTCTCGCCTTTCGTGCTTTGTCAGTCAACAGGAAGCAATAGAATTTAATTTTCCACGGAGGCACGTTTCCTCCTTGGCGAGAGAGGCGTAGGTAGCCAGCTAGATTCGATTAAAAATAAAAGCGCACTCGCCAGCGGAAAAATCGAACAGCCTGCTCGCTTCTCAGCGCCATCTAGTTCCTCAGTCTCGTTCTTGCTCTTGCCCTCGGGACAGATTTCCGCACAAAATTCTTCGACCTTTTCGATACTCTTCATATTTGAAGTCTACAAAAAAAAAAAATAATAATAATAATTTGGCGAATATAAGCGTGCTTCGATTCTTCGATATTATAAATTTTATTCTCAGTTCTAAAAACTTGTCGAGTAAAAATCTGAAGTAGGTTAAGTTAGATTTAGGTTATGTAAAAGTAATTATTCGAATCAAATTGCAAGCTCGAAAATGCCCACTTTGGGCATTCAATATTTATGTACGTATTTATGGTGTGAAAACAAAATTATAGTAACAATGTCGTGAAACCCGAAACTATGCTTCAATTTTGTACAAACATGGTGATACGAACGTGAATTAAGCAAGTACTCATACACGGCACGTTTTACGCTCTCGATATTTTGATTTCTCTGCCAATCTGTTTGTTGAGATCAAAAATAAACGTGCCGTTATATTCGAAGCAACTAACACGTTTCCATTCTCAAAACCTTCTTGACCTCTCGTCTTCTGTTGTTTATTTTCGCCAACAGTTTGCCACGTATATCTGCGTTTCATATATCTTTTTATTAAAACATACATTTTTATTGATATTTTTTTTTATTTTTGGTATCTTTCTTATTAAAAAAAAAGAAAACCAAGTGATTTCAAATAACAAAAATCGTGAATAGCGAATAAACTAGATCGATAAAAAATGCTGGAAACTGTTGTACGTCTCTTCTTTTATCCTCGAGTGTACTTCCGTCATCTTCGTTACTTTATTTCTGTCGATGTTTCACCGATCCACGAAAGACTTTCTCTACCAACGCTTCCCTCGCGTGCACCTTTTACATATTACATCCATGTACTGGCTTCTGCTTTTTACTCTTCCGAGTAAAATTCCGCGCTGCACCACAGCAACAAGAGCATATTCTTTTAGCCCACTTCACGGAGTTACTAAAAATCGCGCGGCGAACAATTACCAGGAGTACAGGAGAGTTACGCAAACTTTCTCTTTGTCTTCACCAACCATATCCGACATTTCGTCTGCCCATCTCTTCTCCCTCCCGTACATACATATATATATATACATATGTATGTTTATATTTGCTATGTTATACGTAGATTTGTATTTTTCTTGATCAACTCTTTTCTTTCGGGTAGAAAGAAAATACGCGTGATGATAAAGATTGTATTTTGTTGCTCGAGACCTAACCTAACCTAAACCTAAACCTAAACCTAAACCTAACCCTAACCCTAACCCTAACCCTAACCTAAATCCTAAGGTAGACTCATTTTGTTGCTCGAAACGTTTCGAACGTACTCGAAATATTTTTTCTCATTGTTTATTCTTATGCATCTTTCCGCGAAATTTCTCTTTACTTAATCTCTCCTCAGTGAGATGTATACTGTAACGTAACTGTGAAAAATTATTTTAAAACCACAAACTATTTGAATTATTTCCTACTTTCTCCTATTTTTCTGCTTTCTAACGTTTGAATGATGCGCGTGTTTGGGACACAAGGAAAACTTGCATTTTTCCATCTTTGACCCCGATTTTAAACGTCGCTGAAACAAAAACATGGTTGCTTCCTTGCAAGAAAAAATTCAGTGTCCCTGAATATTTAATATAAATACAAAATATTTAATATTTTATTTCCACCAAGAGACGACCAAGTTGCAGTCTCAAAGATCATAACAAAAGGGCCATATTCATTTACCAGTATCTCCTTGATAAAGAAGATCCCCTAATTTGTGATTTGTGCAATGTTCAATTAACAATGAAACATGTTATCGTCCATTGCAGAAAATACACCACGAATACGCCATCGATTAAACACAAGCCTTTCTCCGACTGACAACTTAAAGAATAAACAATCGATTCTTAAAACCTAACCTAAACCTAACCTACATACACCCTTTAAAATAGTCTAACCTACATAATAAATTGTAAGATTCAATTCCAAGTCACTAATAATCCACACATTAATGCGACTATAATGAAAATTAAAAACTAAAAAAATATTTTGTTTCTGAACATACAAAGTTTGTATATATATATATACATATATATTTGTTTGCACGTTTTGCAAATTAAATGCTCCTCGCCGATGATAAACGAGGTATAAAATAGAAAGGACGAATAAATAAAAGAATGGAGAAGATAAAAGTAAGAATAAAAGCTCGTAACGAGAGAACGATTTCGGATTTTGATTTTTGAACAGTGAGCATACCACCAAAATGAGAAACGTTTCCGCGTTGACGTCTTCCGGCAGAAGCAACAAATCTCACCGGTGCTGTGCGGTCGACTGAATGACTTGAAATCATTTTGTTGTGCTGTGTTGCTTTATTCGCATTTCTCTCTCTCTCTCTCTCTCTATACACACACACCGAGATAGATAGATAGATAGATAGATAGAGATGTATGTATCCGTACCTCTCTCTCTCTGTACATATATATAATATGTATCTGTCCGTGAGTCCAGTCTTAACTTTGATTACATTCATTCAACAGAGATTCTTCATTCTCGTTGCGAGACGC